GAAAATTTTGAAGTCCAAAATTTTTAATTAAAAAATTCGTATTCCCGGTCAGATTGTATGGCAGTTAGTTAGCGAGCTCAGCATTCGGCGTGCACTTTTTAGAACCCTTTATATACTCAGTCTCTCCCTCGTTCTTTTTTAACTTGCTACTGTCATTCTTTATGTATTTGTTGTTGTTGTTACCTTATGAACTGGCTGTTGTGCGAGCGAATTTCCTTCAGATTTTTCATTAATATTTCGACASCTTTTTTGCGATTCTTCCAGTTACTGTCAAATCAAAGCTGATGTCAGTTAAATTCACAAATTCAGACACTTTTCAGATTTTTGTGGACTTATGTTACTTAGCCTATCTTCAAGGCCAATGAATAAGCTGAAAGCTGTTTGAAATCAATCAATCTACACCAAAGGGCAACAGATTGCTTATTGTTTATAAAACAAGTTGAAACTGTCGACATATAGAATCTTAAGTGTACTATTTACAGCTATATCATTCTTTATAATATCGATAACATATGTACATACATATGTATGTATATGTATGTACGTATGTATGTCCTTTTATTCGCCCAGCAAATGAAAAACGCGTTTCGCCCTTATGTGCCGYACTTCCCCATTGCTTTATTATTGCCATACCGAAGTTGCCAAGGTCGAATTTCCGTTTCATTCGACAGCTAATAAAATCGCAATATTAACTCCCACCTCAATGCTGCGCTGCAACCAAAATATTCGACTGGAAAAAGTGTTATTTTTAGAATTTGCGATTTGTGTGTGCGTGTGTGTGTATTTATCTGATCAAAGGCAASTTACCTGCTGCTGATGCCGCCACCAACGCCGCATACACCACATACACCACAGSCAGCCGCGCGTCTGTTTATTTATAAACACTTGGCGCAGCTACTAGTTTAAGTGTAGGAAATTGTCTATGTGCATACCCTGCTGGAAATATCATCTRCAATGTTACGAACATTTCGTGAGGATTTTTTTGTGGTTACCATGTTAAAGGACTTGAGACATGCGGTAAAAAAGTGAAAAGTGCATTAACCGGTTAAATAGAGGTGCACACTGAGAAAATGCACTGCAATGGCGGAGCTGCGGTTAACATTTCAGAACACTCAGAACCTCAAATCTGAGTAAACCCAGAAAACAAAAACACAAAACACAAAAAAAAAAACTTCACTATGATCAGTCATCTCAGAGTTGTAAATAATGCATAAAAAAATTATTAATACCAAAAAAGATTTTGTATACCAAAAAAGACGATTTTTGAGAATTAAGGGGTTGTATAAGTTGAAGATTTTTTTCTCACAGATGAATATTTTTTTATAAACAGTTTATTAAGCAGTTTGGTCAAAATAATTTTTTTTTATAAACCGCCATTTTGTCAAAAAATTTTATTCTGCTTATTCCTTCGATTTGCTCTACTAGACTTAACATCATTTTAACAAAATCTGTTTGGTATTTTAAATTTCAGAGGATTCAGTTCACATATATAGTGGCCTTTCAACTTTGTATGTATATGTGTATATGTGTATATGTATATGGTTGTCAAAAAAGTCTTGCGGTATTTTCGCTAGTTGGCGCTGAGAGCGCGTAGTTCTAGTTTTAT